GGGAAGGAGAGTGTGTTGGAGGTGGAAGAGGTGGGGAAGGAGAGTGTGTTGGAGGAGGAAGAGGTGGGGAAGGAGAGTGTGTTGGAGGTGGAAGAGGTAGAGGGAGGAGGAGGAATGGCAAGTAGAGACCTCCCACCCCCACACGAGGGAACAGGGAAGGATATATTCTGGACCACGAGGAGTCACCGTCCACAAAGGCGACAATATCTCGGATTACTGCTTTTCCCGCGACCAAGTCTCCGCTCTCCTTATCCCAAATCCTTATCTTGGCCCCTTTCCAGGCGCTATATAGTCGTAATTACTTGGCGTTTTCCCTTACGGGCTATTCATGCCCGTGCCACCTCTTGGGTGGCTTAATCTGTATCAATCAATCAATCGTTTTCCCCTGGTAAATCTCTCTCTCTCTCTCTCTCTCTCTCTCTCTCTCTCTCTCTCTCTCTCTCTCTCTCTCTCTCTCTCTCTCTCTCCTTCCTTCCTGACCGCTCCTCTCCTCATACTCTATTACTCTTTCATCCACCAGCCCATCCTCCTAAGGTCTACCAACGTGAAGAAAATCGTCAATGTAAAGTGGTCTCTCCTAACCTACCAGAGGACCCAAAACAGAAAACGGGACAGTGCGTCACTTTCGCCAGCCGCTTCCATTTTCTAGTACGACGATTTTTGGCCGTGTGTAACGCATACGAATTGGTGTGTGTGAGTGTCCGTGTTCCAATCGTTCAGTAATGTCATTTATAATTGCCTTGTGTTAGGAATTTCTGCTAGTGTAAATATTATTAAATACTATTAAATAGGAATTGAAATTGAAATAAGTTTATTGAGGTAAAATACCCACAAAGGGACGAGGTAGCTCAAGCTATTCTCACCCCGTTCAGTACATCGTGTTAATACATACATAGACACACATCACAAACAATAAACATATTACCAAACATTCTGAGAGGTAAACATATACATTTCAATTAGCAATTAGATAGTATATCTTTGTACTATTCATTTTAGAGTCAAAACAAATGAAGCTAAAAAATAAACTTAAATATTCCTAGGCCTAGTATAGCACACATATGTACTATATTAAGCCTCAGATATCGTATATTTGTTTAGTAATCCAGTAAATAGGAAGTACTATAAATTACATTTTTTTAGTTAATCCAGTGGTTCATGAATTCCATTATCTAATGGTTCATGTGTCTGATCATGCAACCCATTCTCCTGTTTAGATAGTACTTTTTGTAACTATATACACCATAGTACAAATATTGACGTACTAAGCAATTAGACAGTAGATTTTTGGTACTATTCACTTCATAGTCGCAAAAAATTAAGCTAAAAAACCAACCTTAATATTCCTAGAACAAGTATTACGCACACGTGGACTATTAGGCTTCAGATAGCGTCAATTAGGCTTAGGAAGGTTAGGTTAGGCTAGTTTAGTTTAGTTTAGTTTAGTTTAGTTTAGTTTGTCTTTGCAACATAAATATAAAATCTTTTCCGGTTTGTCCAAATTCAATAGTACCGATTTCTACTTAGTAATGTCGTTGTACGTCGGTATATGTCCTATGGTCCTCATCGTTACTAGAAGTACTCCCAAAACAGTAGGATGGGCTCGTTGATGAATGCTTATCGCTTTGATATTACTCGACAATTCCCTTGTTTCAGTGGTCTATTTTTATCAACAAAATAACTAGCCTCCTTTGTTATACGATTTATTTAACGGTTAATAGAGTCGCTACAAAAGTCCGATAACATCACACGTATATCCTGGGGCCAGATTCACGAAGCAGTTACGGAAGTACTTACGAACATGTACATCTTTCCTCAATCTTTGACGGCTTTGGTTTTATTTATCAAACAGTTTACAAGTATGAAAACTTGCCAATCAACTGTTGTTATTGTTGTAAACATCCTCCTGGTGCTTCGGAGCTTATTAACTGTTTAATAATTGTAAACAAAGCCGCCAAAGATTGAGAAAAGATGTACAGGTTCGTAAGTGTTTGCGTAACTTCCTCGTGAATCTAGCCCAAGTAACCCAAGGGTATGAGGAGCATTAAGAAATTAACGAAATTTAATATTTCTCATCAAATTCGCGGTTTTACATCGAATTAAGAATCAGTTTTTGTTTCCCAGTACATTTTTTCTGTGTGAACTGTATATATTATACTCAATGTATGCACTATATATATTTTTTAAGCTAATAAAACAAAAAAATTCCCCTGTGCTCAAATGACTGTTCTTCTTCAGGACACGGAATCATGGCTGACTCAAAACAGCAGAATGTTTATCCTATCGGGGGTGTCAAGGTGCAGTTTCCTGTCAAGCCTTACCCCTCGCAGATGGCCATGATGGCTCAGGTGAGTTGTTGATTGACAGCTGTCGCTCCTTCATGGGAAATGATTTCTTTGTTTTTCGGTGGGGCGGAAGGAGGTATATACCCTTAAGTCCACTACGGGCTCACCATAGCCCGTGCTACTTGGAACTTGTTCCGAGTAGCTGAATCTATAACACCAACAGGGTTGTAGATCATTCGGGGGATCTCAATGTTTGTATGGCTTGTCATGCAGTGAGTTGATTTTAATAAGCAGAACAGGTCATTGGAGAAAATTTTTGAATAGGGGTTAAATATGGATGCGAGTTGGGTTAGGCAAGAATACTGTAATTGGAATGGAAAGGTGAGGAAGCCACCACATCTTCGTGACCGCTTGCAGATACGTGTAGAACTCCAGAACTGTTCTTGTATTGCACCAACGGTATATTTGAGACAGTAGTGTACTCACCTAATTGTACTCACCTAATTGTGCTTGCGGGGGTTGAGCTTTGGCTCTTTGGTCCCGCCTCTCAACTGTCAATCAACTGGTGTACAGATTCCTGAGCCTACTGGGCTCTATCATACCTACATTTGAAACTGTGTATGGAGTCAGCCTCCACCACATCATCAGTGTGTGTTCACACTGCTGTTAACTTCCGCTGAAGCAGCAACACATCACACTCGCCCTCACAACCATTCATGCCATCATCCACTCTTCTTCTTGAGGTTATCTTGAGATGATTTCGGGGCTTTCGTGTCCCCGCGGCCCAGTCCTCGGCCAGGCCTCCACCCCCAGGAAGCTGCCTGTGACAGCTGACTAACACCCAGGTACCTATTTTACTGCTAGGTAACAGGAGCATAGGGTGAAAGAAACTCTGCCCATTGTTTCTCGCCGGCGCTTGGGATCGAACCCGGGACCACAGAATCACAAGTCCAATGTGCTGTCCGCTTTGCCGACTGGCTCCCTAACTTCTTTCCACAAGTTCATTCAGTTAGACACCTACAGTCACCACAAAATATTAGATAATTACTAAAAGACATGGAATTAATCTGGGTATACTCTGAGCAGCCTCCTTGCTGAGGTTAGGTAGGGACTGAGAACTCTTAGTCTATCTAAATAAGGCCACTTTTTTCCTGTGTACCTCTGATGGTCATAAGTGTAACTAAATGTGTTCACATTATTTAAATTTGCCCTCATGTTTTAAATGCTCATAGAAACGGTAAGCACCTGTAGTTTACCCGTAATCAGTTTCGAGAGTTCTACTTTCCATACCCAGCCTGGGTGTGCATTGAAAGATGTAACTTAGTGCCCACAATGTATGGCAGGCCAATTTTGCAATATATAGTGCAAGCTCAAAACCATGTCTCATCAAACACTAAATGAAATTAAAGGAGCCCATAGGTATGCCACCAGAGAAGTCCTGGAGCTCGGAGGTATCAGTTACAAAAAAAGACTTTTAAAGATATAGAACTTTTAAGATATAACATTACTGAAAGATGAAATGGGATACAAATACTCATGGGTATTAAGAAGGTAAACGATGACAATCTGAATGAACAACAAAAGGATATTATAAATATTTTTTTTACTGCTGGAGTAGTAAAGAAATTGAGTGAATTTGGAGGTAATGCACAATACTGGTGGAAGTAGACTCCAAACATTGCTTCAACTATAGATATATGAAATTTCAAATGGATTGATGGAAGTTTTAGTGGGACCCCAAGATGTACGGTATTTGCATAGCTAATTGATACAATGCATAGATACATTTGCATAGCTAAGCTATGCAAATGTATCTATGTAATTTCAGATAGGCAAGTACACATGTATACATTTGTTTTAAGATGAAATATTAATTGAAAATAAATATCCCAACAATTTTGTGTATACCTTATACACTTGTCTGACAGAGGTATGCAAACATTTCTACTCGCCTGATACCAGTATATTTAGCTGCATTATTGGGTTATAAACAATAAGTAAACTAACCATGACACATACTACTATTTGTAGTCTTTATTTTGCACTTAAAATACCTTAAATGTGTTGACAACAGCTCAGTAGTGTAATATCACATGTATTAAGAAACTGCATGTACATCTAATATTCACACCCCTTGGGACTAATCCTAATTCTTTCTCATCAGTAGTCTATACATTTATTAACTGTTTCCCTGCATAATTTGTTTAACTCATTTTCTTGTATATTTGACTAACCCTTTTTCAAGTATTTTCAGTTCATACCCAAATCAACCCAGCGGGCATGAGTACCATCACCACTACCCAAGGCATCTCCCTGTGTAACACCCTAAACCTCAAATGGTAGAATTCAAATTTCTAGTGCTAGAATCAACCCATCAAGTAGTTGACTTTTTTTTGGAGATTGTTCTAAATCCTAAAGAAATTTTGGGTAGAACTTGGCCATCCTTGTTTCCCAATTTATCAAATTAACCTTCAAACAATAGCTCCTAAATTGAATCCTTCCTGGTACCCATGTGGTCTAATTGTCAAATTTTGCTTTAACCTTAGTTAGATTTGATTGTAGTTTATATTTCTTGGAAAAAAATGGTTTCACAATGGTGATATGAATTTTCCTTTATGTATTTGCAAATACATTATTGGAGTTACAATATTTTATTTCAAGAATGTGTTGAACCTGCTGTAAGCATTATTCTTGTATATTAATCAATCCACTACCATTAGGAAAAGATTGTTACACATTTTTAGTGTTCTTAGAATTATATTGTCTGCTGTTGTCTCTAAGCAGTTTTAGATGTTATCCACCATTTATTTTAATTACTTTTAAATTTCACCTGCATAGATGGATTTCCTCAAGATGAATAACTTTAGTGCTTGAAAGTAAAGTATTCTTATGAGAAGAAAGCAATAGATTATGAAGCTTAACAGATAATTAAAGCTGTCTATGTAACTACTAATTCATTTTGGTTGCTAACATTTTCATTGTAATTTTGATGTGTACTAAAATTATTCTAATTCATCAGATTGTAAAGGGACTCCAGCGACGTCAGAATTGCCTGCTAGAGTCCCCAACCGGCTCGGGAAAATCGCTGGCTCTCTTGTGTTCAACACTAGCCTGGCAACAAGCTGAAAAAGGTAAGGGTAAAATTTTGTAAAATATTTTCTAATGTTGGCTTTCATCCTCAGAAATACTTTTGTTTATGAATTGGATCCCCAGACAGGGTAAGTTACTTACTCAGAGCAGGACATGGCTGTGATTACTGAAAAATAACATATTCATGGGTCTGGATTCACTTGAGGTAGGAAGGTTTATTGCTGTTATTTGGCTGGGTGTCTGTGAACCAATTTGACCTTTATGAATTTGAAATACAGTATCTGTATCCTCAATACATTAGGCATACTTTCCAGATTTAATTGTAGGATAAAGTCAAGCTACGATATTGCATGATGTATATACAGTATATTTAGTTGGCAAATGTTGAGTTGCAATTGCATGTCTTCAGTGCTCTGGCTGGTATAGGACATTGGGGCAGGGTCAACCGGTCAGCAGGGCAGCCGGTCAGCCGAGCGGACAGCACGCTGGACTTGTGATCCTGTAGTCCCGGGTTTGATCCCGGGCGCCGGCGAGAAACAATGGGCGGAGTTTCTTTCACCCTATGCCCCTGTTACCTAGCAGTAAAATGGGTACCTGGGTGTTAGTCAGCTGTCACGGGCTGCTTCCTAGGGGTGGAGGTCTGGTCGAGGACCGGGCCGCGGGGACACTAAAGCCCCGAAATCATCTCAAGATAACCTCAAGATATAAGAAGGGTTGGGTGTACTTGGTAAGAGCAGGGCACAGGTACGAGTGGAGAGGAGAGGAGAGAGATGGGTATGGTTCGCATTGCTTAAGCTGGAGGAATAGTGGCATAATGGGAGCTTTTGGAGGGCCAACTGCCCTATTGAGTATGGTTAATACGAACCGAAGTCAAAGCACTCGCGAAGTGTGGGGTGAGTGTCTTAGCACTGCGCCAATGGGACTGAGAAACAAACATACACTATATATATATAACTATCTAGATTTTCATGCACCATTATGAACCACTAAGCATTTTTGGCAAGTGTAAGATCTTACAATTGGTTATCAGAGTTCGGCCTAATTCCGCATTTTTTTGCATTGTTCCAACAACATGCTTTGAAATATAATGCAGACAATGAGTCTCAATAACGTGGCTGAAGATATGATGACCAGACCACATATGTAATATTTTTTCAGAATACAGTACAGTATATATTACTTTATCAGAATTTAAATGTTTTTTTACCATGGTTTTTTCAAGTGTAATGGTCTATTGGGCTGTCAATAATATTATTTGTGTCATAGAAAATGTTGAATATTGGTATGCAGATATATATTTATGTTCACTAATATGAGTTAAACATTCTTTGAGCAATATAGTATACAGTTTTTTAGCTGTTACACTATATACACAATTATATATAACTAGCTACAATTTTGTTCACTATAACCACATTAGCTGGTCTGGCGAGTCCAAACACAACATGGTGTCAACACGCTAGTCAGCTGACAATGCCAACTGACTTGCCATAATGCCTCGAATATAATACTGTATGCCTATCACTAACTGTAGGCACAATGCTGCTGCTATTATCAGTATCCTGGTCACTAAATCCTGAATGTGAATAATTTTGCACGTGTATTTTCTGTAGTAGTGTGAGGTTGTTTCACGAGGCGTTGATGCACCAATCAATGGCAGTGATGTGGCTGTCGTTGTTGTGCTGGGAACATCATGAATAGCATTATGTTCACTGATATCTGAATACTGTACATGGTCTTTATCATAGACTCTTCTGTACTATCATTGCAAAATAATTGCTGTTGCTTATGTAATTCGTCATTTTAAGTGATGCTGTGGACACAAGCTGAACAGCAGTGCTATTGATGTACCCTTTCTCCTAAGAGAATGTTGCATTTTGACATATACTTTACCCCTAGGCCAAAAATTATCCTAAAACATGGTAGCGGCTCACAAAATTGGCGTATTGTCCTGTTTTCTGTTTTGGGTCCTCTGGTAGGTTAGGATAAGGGCACTTTAATATGACAGTTTCTTGACCTCAGAAAACTTTGAGGACAGGCTAGTTAGTGCACGTTGCAGGCTCCGCCTTTGGTTGCTCGGTCAATACTGAGGCCTTCACACCCAGGAACAGTGTCCTTAATTTTTTTTTCAAAATAGCATCTGTTTATTGGAACCCTGGGAAAGCCAATGTGAGCCCCGTGTACTCACAGAAGTTTTAAATCTTACACGGGACCCTATTACATCTCCAGGTGGGATGTGCCACATGCAGATAATTGGCCTCCACTTCTCCAGCTGGGATGTACAATGGAAGGGTTAAATGGACAGAAGTGCTTCTGAACCTTCCACAGCAACCCAAGTTCCGTTACATCCAAAGTTTGCCGTTTTGCAATTTTATAAAAATGTTACTCGTGTGTTTCTGGGAGGGCTACCTTTAGTGGCTTCCCAGCCTAGTAACTAGTGATTCCTTTACAACAAAATAAGGAAATATCTATGTACAGTACGGAATATGTAGTACCTGTACTGTAAAAAAGTATTTTCACATTCTGTAACTGCTTCTTTTAAAATTACTTTAAATGAATTTGCAATACAAGGAAATTAACTAACTTATAATTAAAAGATGTTTTGCAAGTTAATATACAGTATATCAATTAAACAAACTTTATTTGAACTAAAACTTTAATGTGGACGGGAAGAGTGTCAAATGGAAGTTTCTGCCAGTGTGTGTCTCCTGGTTGACCTGGAATGGGGTCTTATGATCACAATTCTGTCAGTGGTCATTTGTCTTTTTCTCCTTTTGTTATGAGATTGAAAATGTTATCTGAAAAGCCTAAACATTCCTTACTCTATACATAACGGCACGTAGCCAAATGCCGTTATGCCGTTATCAACACAGCCAAGATCTTTTCTTAAGGTTGCATTAAGAGGTATTTTAAGGTTGAGAGAAATTTTGAAAGCCTCCTTCCTACCGTTTATGTACATTATATAAAATTAGGAATGCAAGAAGTATAATATAGTACAGTATATAAAGATGCACATCAAATATGAGAGGGAACACTAAGTGAACAAAAAAATTATTTTGAATTGCCGGGATTCAATAAAAAAAGTGAGGTGTGTGCATTACATTTATTTGATTAATCACATATGACAGAGTACACATACAACATGGAAGTAAATCAACTTGTTTAAGAGTACACAGATCTTGGTATCAATAGGAGAAAAGCTGAGATAAACACCTTGTTACGGATGTGGATGCCTCACCATCACAACCTAAAACACCATCTCTCTCAGCTGAGTCCAGCTCCCATTTCTGTGGCAAAGGTGGTGGGGGCTGTGCACTCACAAAAGTGCACTAAACCTACACATAACTAAGGATACCCATCTCATACACAACTTAACAACTTGTAAACACCGGCAAAAAAAATAAAAAAAAGTTAATGCAATATTGCCAAAAATATAACAGATTTGCATTTAAATATTAATAAAAACATTCATAGTGATCAAAATAAAAGCTAAACATACTAGTCATTATAGTATACTGTACCGCCTTTATCCTCCACTTATGTACGTACTTTATTTAACCTCCACTTATGTACTATGTAAATTATCTACTTGCCTCCTAATTGGCATCAGGGAACATTTTAACATTGTTGTCTAACCCTTCAGTATCATTGGGAAACTGACTAGCATTATCTACATAACTACCATCATCACTCTTATTCACCACCATTCTACTTACAGGCTGAATTACCTTGTTCAATGTTCACTCCACCATTTTTTTATGTTGTCCCATTTATAAATAAAATATATGGTTGTGTATTTTCATATATTATGCAGTTATTTCTTTCTCTTTTGTCTTCGTCCTCATCTAAGTCGACAATTGTTTGCGGTAAAGCCTTTTTTTTAGGCTAAAGGCTCTGAGGTAAAAGGCTGAAAGGTAAAGGCTCAATTATACATGTGGTATTAAGTGGAAGATCATTTACAGATAATTTTGCAACATAATTAATTTTTTATTTCTTATATATATACTGTATGTATATATGTATGTGTATAATTAATATATATATATATATATATATATATAACTGAAAACTCATTCCATTCAGGCTTGTTCGCATATATATATATATATATATATATATATATATATATATATATATATATATATATATATATATATATATATATATATATATATATATATATATATATATATATAATATTAAATATGACCGAAAAAGTAAGATTAATAATTCTAACACGAATTTTCTCTATCTTTCGTACATTTCTTTTCACTGTTGGTGGTAATTCAAAAATCAATTCTCCAAAATTCATTTCTATTTCAAGTCTGACGCGACACTTGAGCGCGTTTCGTAAAACTTATTACATTTTCAAAGACTTTACATACACAACTGAATAGAACTTACACATCTCCGATTTGTTTATATCTACATTTGAGTGAGGTGGATGGGGTGAGGTGACATTAATAGGGTATTAATTTCATCAACACAAGACAGAACACGAAACAATGGGTATTGAATGGAAGTGATTGTAGAAAGCCTATTGGTCCATATTTCTTGATGCTTCTATATTGGAGCGGAGTCTTGAGGTGGGTAGAATATAGTTGTGCATTAATTGGCTGTTGAGTGCTGGTGTTGACTTTTTAATGTGTAGTGCCTCGCAAACGTCAAGCCGCCTGCTATCGCTGTATCTATCGATGATTTCTGTGTTGTTTACTAGGATTTCTCTGGCGATGGTTTGGTTGTGGGAAGAGAAACATAGATTAAGTTTGACTCTGGGGATATCAAAGAGATATTTGTGTCTGGTGTGGTGGGCATGTGTTCTATTACATCTGTCCAGGAAGAGTTTCAGAACAGGGTTTGCACTTAGAAAAAGGGTTTTATAAACGTAATTACACAAAAGAATGTATGGAGTGAATTTATGTTTAGCATGTTTAGGGATCTGAACAAGGGAGCTGTGTATTGTCTGAAGGCAGAGTTAGTTATTGTCCTGATAACAGATTTTTGCTGGATGATGATGGGGTGAGGTAGTTTGCAGAGATTGAACCCC